AACCCTCCCGTGACACAGCTCCATGCCGTTCCCTCGGGCCCTGTCGCTGTCGCAGAGAGCAGAGCTCAGCGCTGCCCCTCCGCTCCCTGTGAGGAGCTGCAGCCGCTGTGAGGTCTCCCATCAGCTCCTCTGCTCTGCGCTGAGCAAACCCAGGGACCTCAGCTGCTCCCCACACTTTGCCCTTCAGACTTTTCACCATCTTTACGTCCTCCTTTAGACGTTTCCTACCAGCTTTATATCTCTCTAACACCGTAGCGCCCAGTGCACACCCAACGCTGGAGGTGAGGCTGCAGAGCACAGTGCAGAGCGGGGACAACCCCTCCCTTTGCCCGGTAGCAGTGCTGGGGTGGGTGCCCCCAGGCACGGTTGGCCCCCACAATGTACTTCGTGCCTACAGGTTTCAAGGACATAGCGAGTACTGGAGATCCCCAAATCTGGCCTGGAGGAGAGGCAATGTGTGATGTGGGCCTCCGCCTAGTCTTGACGGTGCTGTGCTGGCCTGCCAGAGCCAGCAGGAATGCGAGCTCAGCCCTGTGCCCCCCTCACCAACCAGCCCCAGCCACAGCTCGGAGGGGGCTTTCAGAGTGCGCAGTGTGGGCAAGGCCGGAGGGGAGAAAGCTGCAGGAAATGAGGCTGTGTTTGTTTTGCTGCATACAAAGCTGCATATTAGGGAGAGCAGTTAAGCATTCAGAATGATTAGCAAGGCTGGGTAGTAAATTCCTTTCATCATTCTGGCTGTCATCCTAAAATATGTGCTCTAGATTTACCACAGATTTGCTTGGTTTGGGCCAGGGAATTTCATTAAGTAATTCCTGCATCATGTGATACACAAGGTTGCACTAAATGCTCCAGCGACCATTTCCATTCTTCTGTTTCAATGATCCCCGGCTGAAAAACAACGATAGCAGAATGAGGGAGAAAAATAAAGAGTCGGTGTTGAGGAAGTACAAAGAGCTCCATATATTTAACTGCTGGGGCATTTTTTTTTTTTAATTGAATAACAGTTCCCAGGATCCATTGATCTTTACATTAGTTAGAGCGTCCTACAAGGACAGAAACCATGATGGGGAGAGAGTGAGTAATGAGCTCGCAGCCGAGTGAATCATTTCCCCTACAGCTTTGTGTTTGTAGAGAGACAGATGGTGGGAGCTGTGAAGAGGGAGAGGGAGGGGACAGGCAGGTTTTTGCAAACGACACAAGTAGGGAGAGGACGATGAAAAAGAAATATGCAGCAGGTAAGGGAGGAGAGGCTGGAAACACGCAGGCTGCTTCAAAACTAACATGCTCATGTTAAAAGAGATTAGGCTTACAGGGAAGTTTAGAAAGGAAATTACAGAAAACAAGAGCCTTGAGGCCAAGAGAGAAAAATATAACAGGAACAGCCCAAGAAATGCATCTGTAGATCTCTTAAGTCAGTTATTAAGCTCATGTGCAAATAGTGGGGCAGTAGCTTTCAGAATGAGAGCATGCCTCCCGTGGGTGGGCACTGCTGCCAGCAGGAGCTGCTGAGCTGTGGGCATGAAGGCATCGCCTGGAGCACTGCAGAGGTACTGGGGGCTGTTCCCCAGTGCACGCACACCTGTGGGGTGTGGGAGGGAAATGCACTGCTCAAACTGAGAGCAAACACTGGGATGAAGGCAGCATGAAGGGAGAGACAGAACTCACTGAGAAACAGCCTGTCTTGCAGGCTTGCCAGAACTGCGATGACATGAATGCGTGTGAAGATTTTTTATGCCAGCCACCTGTGTGATAGAAATATGGTGGTAATGTTTTCATCCCACAGATAAGCTACGTTGGCCTCTCCAGCGAGGGAACCGTATGGTGGGTCTGGTACAAAGGTAATCCTATAAAGCCCTGCGTGCAAGACACAAAATGCTGCCTCCAGAGCTGATTTTCTCCCGGAGAGCCCTTCTAGCTGCCATCACTTGGTACCACTTAACAGAGCCATGAGGCAGACATCCTCAGGACTGGTGCCAGGACAGACACGAGGTGGCCTGTGAGGCGGACTCACTGCAGGGACTGGTTGGGATCCCTCCCCAGCCTGCAGCCCAACTCGGGGCCTGGCTGCAAGGTAAGGCTGAGGGAAATGCCTGGGCCTGGCAGAGAACAGGGAGCTGCACGGCCTTTCATGAAGGCCAGCTGTGGTAAGGAAGGAGAGCAGGCCTCAGAGAGTGCTCAGCACGCAGAACAGGTGCGCGCTATCTCACAAAGCAAACATCTCTCTCGTTACTCTTTGGCTTTAATTTAACAGCTTCTCCCCTGCTGTCGCTTCTGTTTAATCTGTGCCAGTGGCAGATGACAGAGGTCCCCACAGGCTGAGCTGAACACACTGGTGTGCGGTGACACCGGGGGCTCCCAGCAGCAGCCTCACACCTGCTCTGAGCCGTGGTGGCAGAAGGCAGCCATTTTGTGACACCTGCTCATGGCAGGAAGGCCTCGGGACCTTCTCCAGGCTAACAGGAGGGTCCAGGGAACCTCTGGCAAAACATGGGTGCTCGCTGTGAACCCCAGCAGGCTGGCTGCTGGGAAAGCAGTGGCTGGAGTCCTAGCAGGGGCAAAAGACTTCCAGCACCCCATCCACAGGTCAGGCTGATAAAAGTTCTCTCTGCTGTGTAACGCCAGCCTCCTGAGGTGGAAAAAGTGGTGTGGGAATGCCTCCAGGGACATAGAAGTGTGGGGGGCTGAAGGAAAAGGTATCTTAATGCTAGGATAAAAAAATAATGATTAAAGTAGTTGATAATTAAAATTGATCTTTAAAAAATCGTGACTACCACCACCTGCAGTGAGCTCGTTCTGACTGTATTTCATCCTTTGGTTTTCCACTTCTTCTAAAGGACTGTATTCTGGAAATACTATCTTTGAGGCTTTCTTCAAAGCTATCTTCTTCTGCTTGGCCTGACAGCTCTTACAACATGTCCATTCTATTTTTCGTCAGCTACCTCCAGTTAAAACCCACTAAAGGTGATGTTTTGTGACTGGCATGTTTGGCAGCACAATGCTCTGGTGTGCTGGCCTCAGGATTTTCAGCAAGCAGCGGGTGCCGCAGTGTGCTGTTAAAAAGCCTGCAGTCTTCAAAGGAAGCAATTTAGTCAGAAAAACTTCTAAAAAGATAACACTGGTGGGGATTGAGCTGAACAGTGCAGGAGTAGCTAATGCATTAAAGATTCTTTCATCTCTATGCTGACAGAGAGAACTCAGCCTGGCTTGGTACTGACCAAAACCACCTGGGTTTGTATTTTGTAGCATCACTTAAATGCTCAACTGTGTGATCTGTGTGCACCTCATTGACATGAGGGAATGTATACATGTATACAGCTACATGCAAATAACACCCATTGCAGTCTTCCTCCCAAATTTTTCCTATAAACTGGACATACAGAAACACTGAGATCCAGCCTCAGTATCAATACAGAAGCCAATTTTTCTTTGATGCCTAATTAACAGCACTCTGAGGACAACGAACCGTTTCTCTTTTAAGAAGATTAAAGATATCCCTGCCAATAATGATTCCAGATGCTTAAAAGTGTCTTTCCATATGTACAGGGCAATGGATAAGGCACTAAGAAATCATTTGGAAAAAGAAGATTTATCTCCACTTTACCACTGAATTGCTGCAGTCAGCAGAATGTTATCAACTCACTCTGCTCCGGGTTCCTTACATAAGAAGTGGAGATGAAGGCAAACTGGCCACTTAAGTAAAGTTATTATTTGAAACTTACTCAATAAAATACCACGTGCATACAAATAATTTTTATGCGTCCATTTTCCTTCCAGTCTTATAACAGAGATGATTTTCCTGAAGCAGGGGCTGTAAAGAAGCTGAAACAGCAGAAACCCAGTAGTAAGAATGTCCCAAAAGGGAGATGAGATGAAGACTTTAAATAGGAATAATAGAAACTGGGAAGACAGACTGGAAGTATGATAAAGAGGAAAGCAATTATAAAGTAATCACATTGAAGGAAGTGGCAAAACCAACCAGCTAGCATAGATTTGTCTTCTTTTTGCTACATTATATTTTATTTTAAATGAGGTAAAATAATTTAGCATTTTTAAAACAAAGAGGAAAAAGACAGCAAAATGGTATTTTCCTTCAGGCTTGTGTGGAAACCAAACTACTGAAGCAGCAGTGTCCCTGGGATGTAGCCGTGGCAGTGCCAGCTTGGTGCACTGCTACCTCAGCAGTCATGACACTGATGGTTGTGTCAAGACAAGGCAGCCAGGTTTAAAGTACCTGGAGAACACAGACAAGGGGTCATCACCTAACTTGTCCAGCAGCACACTGAGTGAAAGCTGTCCATCTCAAGCCTTTATGTCTGTTGGTGGATGCTGGCCAGACTCCTTGCTGACTCCAAGCTGGGCCTAGGAGTAATGTACAGGTTGCATTTTAGAGCTCTGTGTTGGTTGGATCATGGACAAATAGGTTTCACCATTTTCTCAAAGCAATGCCTGACAACAGCATGGATTCTGTGACCTGCATCACTGGAGCTTCCTGAGGTAAAAAAGGATAATTTGTATCAAACCAGCTTGCTGTCTTGTTTCTCTTGCCTGTGTTTCTCACTCCTGCACGCTCCCCTGTTTTTAATGTCTTACTGAGTAGCTTGTCTCAAAACCATCTGATGCTTCTTGTTCCAGTGGCAATTTCCAGTATGAGAAGGCTCAGCCTGTGCAACCCCACCTAAAAGCAACATTCAGACCCAATACTGCTCTCACATAAGCTTGAGGGGTGAAAGAAGAGGTGTATACCTCACATACAGAGTGCTGCCTGAGAAAATTAGCAGGGCATTCTTATATGAAGGCTGGTCCAGACTGTAACAGAAACGCTAAGCCATGGCCTGGAACAGTGATTGAGCACCTGGTGGAAGGCAGGGCCAACCCAGAGGGGCTCAGGTGCATGCAGTGCACCTGAGTGACTGGAAGTGACTGGATGAAGTCAGGATCCACCCCTCCCTAGACCTCATTTAAGGGTTGGCAGTGGATGCAAAGGTATCTTTCTGGAGATCCCTGCCTGGTGGAGGCCTTCTGAAGGTAAGCAGTTTTCTTTCATTTCTGTGTCTATGCTGCTGCAGCCTTGGATTGTGGCACTCTGCTACTGTTGCTGTACGTTTCATCACGTTATAGTATTACAGCATTATGTAGGCCAGTATAGTTGATAGCAGAAAAGCAAGCATCTCCATGTCCTTGTGAGATACTGCCTGTGGAACTGACCGTGCAGTAACACCAGTAAGTGCCAGAAACTTGTGATGGGCCTAAGCAAAGTGAATCCTTCAGGGAATACAGAGCACCTCTCAACCTAGTGGTTTCCTACGTCCAGAACAGTTTCTAGGTATGTTCTAGGAAAAGTCATTTATCTGATCAGCTCTATGGCATACAGACACAAGCTGCAGCTAGGATATGTGCAAGCTCCTGGCTTGTCATGAGAGTCTGAGCATTCTGACCTCCAGTACACAATGGGAGTTAGCAGACTTTCAAGGTAATTTGCATGAGCTCAGATACTGATCAGCTCAGCTACTATTTGCATTACACGTGCTATTGCCTAGCAAAAAGCATGGTTTCTGTTCCGATTTCATATTTTTCATTCATTAACCTCTAATCAACAGAAGCAAATAACTTCTTCTGTGTCAGCTCTATTCTACAATGCTAAAACCAGCCATTTATGTAGCTGCCCTGTGTGTAACTCTATAGACCAGAATGCCATTCTTATGAAGGGCTTATGGTCCAACTGCAATGTGGGATTTGAGTGGCTAACTAGAACTCTGCAAATTATCTGTCGTTTCTTTGTAAGCCCTGCTTCTTTTCTTTACGTCTGCATTTGGACTGGGGATAATGAACTTCCTGTATCATGCACTGCAACACAAGGAAACCCATTGTATGCGAACCAAGGAAGAGTGTATCAGTGAGTGGTTTGTAAGGCAGCTCTGATGGGTCTAGTTAGAATGACTTATTCTCAGAGTTTCAGTGGTTTGATTAAGTGGATCATGTGATAAGCACTTATAATGAACTTCTTCACATGCTGCCAGGGGAAGCCCAGCAGATAAAGTGCTTAATCCCACGGCGTTGCTCTGTGCATAACAAGCTGATTGCAAAGACAGAAGAGTCATGCAATTCATTGGCTTCTCCTACTCAGGATAGCACAACAGTGTTACACAATTTTCTTTCTGCTGCCCAAGTCAAAATATTCTTGCTACTAAATCCAGTTCAAACTAGCATGCTTTCCCTCCCTCACCTCACCAAGCTCTCAACCGGGCAGGTTACAGCTGAATGTAACCATCTGCAACAAGCCTAGGCATGCTTCTGAGTGATTTCTTTCCTATTAAAACAACAGAAACAACAACAAATAAGAATGGAGCATAAACTTCTGAGCAACCCCAGCTGGTTTGTTTTTAAAAATAAAAATCTAGGTCAGCCTGAATCACCACAGGGGTAATCTTCATTTTACTACCAACAGCAGCAGAGGTCAACGAGCCAGCCTCACAAGGGGCATCTCTTGCAGTTTTGGCTGAAACCTGTGGGACCAATGACCAGGGTAAGACAACATCAGATGTGCTCTCTCTTCCTCTCCCCAGCTGGTGGCTTGCACTCTGCAGTGCCTTTGCAGAAAGCATTCTGTCTGAGCAATGAAGTGGGATGTGCTCATTCCAGCCCTGTCTATTGGAACAAATTGTGCTGCTTCTCCAAGGCCAGTGCCATATCTCTCACTCAGCTGTAGCAAGGGTATGACAGAAGGGATACCTTCAGGGAAGTTGTCTGTAGGTCCTGGGTCTGAGATGAGTGACAGACCCCAAAGAGATCTGCTCCCTGGCCAGGAGGACCTGCATGTTCCCATTTCCAAGGGCAACAACTACGTGCATCAGGACCTGCCTGTTGCTCTGGTATGCCTGATGAAAATGCTTGTTAAAACTGCTGCCCAGAAAAGTAGGAGCTCTACTTGCACACTCAGGTGTCAGGATGGAGAGGGTGACCATTTCAATAGTGTATGGTATTGAAGGAGCGTGGGGAGATGCATGGGTGTGAGCTTTCAGTGAGGTAACTGGTTCTACTTGGGATCCTTACATCAGAAAAACAGTGTGCAGCCATGGATAATACTTCCCTTTAGGTATTCACTGACACTAGAGCTGGGACTTTACCAAGCGGTAGCTGATGAGGCAGCATCTGAAAAGCTAGCTGCAGGAATGCCTGTCCTCAGGCTACCTCACTCTTGGTAATTCCACTGAGCAATTAGTTCTTCAGGATCACGTAGTGAACCATTTCTAAAGTGATCATTTTGAGAGTCCAGGTGTCAGGAGAAACAACAGGCAGAAGCAGCATGTCATGTCACCTTACCAGCAGGATGTGTCCATCCTGCGCATCAGCAAAAGGGTTAATGTTGTTTGATGCAAGGTTGAATCAACCTGGTGGTGGTAACTGTTATGTCACATAGAGCCCTTACATCTCCCTCCTGCTCTGCAGTTGCAGTGAGAATGAAGGAGGGCTTAGCCTCCTTGCACAGAAGTACAATCACTTGTGCATCATGACTAGAAAGCCTGTATGGCCACAAAGCTGCTTCTGCACAGCACTCAGAACAATCTTGGTTCTGTCTGGCTCCATGCTTTGCTCCCCACTCTGCTTATTCTCACATGTACTGGCAGCTCCACACCACCCATGCGCTGTGCTGAGCACCTCACTGAATGCCAGTTCACGTAGACAGGCATGTAGACAGCCCTGTGAGCGAGATCCTGTGCTTACAGCTTGCAAGTTTAAGAGCACTGCTGAAATGTATTGACGTGTTAACGAGCTAGGTTGGATGGCAGACTCATCACATCTAGTGCAGAGGTTATAAAGAGACCCAGCAGTGGAACATTTGCCAGGTGAAGAATGCAAGCGTGAATATCAGATTGACTTCTTAAATGAATCAGAACATCAGATGGGTAGAGGTGATACCCTGCTTTCTGGCCTGACCTTTTTGTGACACTTATCTGTATGATAGGGAAAAGTCTAGGCCTGCGGCATCTCACAGCAAGCCTAGGGGATGGTAAGAAGTATTTGTTCAGGCGGTCGGCCTATAAATACAACTGCAGTTCAAAATGTACATCAAACTTTGTATATCAGTTTTCCTATACAGTGTTACTAGCCATTAAATTTCCTTAGGTCATATTATTCCTCAATTAATGAGATTGCACTGCTGTAATCAAAGGGATAATATGATACTGATCAGATTTCAACAGCAAAATGCTGTTTCCAGCTGTGATGGCATGGGAGAAAGAAGGCCTTATCTTGATGTATTTTCCAGATAATAGCAATTCATGTACCTAACAGTGAGAAAAATATTTAAAAATGCACTTTCTATGCGATCAGTAAGAACCCAGAACTGCAAAATTACGATGCTGCTATTACATTCAGTCATCAGAGAGTAACTTCATTGTAATTCTGTAAGCCAGGTTGAAATTTGCTCTTTAAATTGTTTCCACTTGACAGGGATATCACCTGGAAATGTTGGCTCATTGTCCTTAATCGCATTTTGGTATTTTGAACTGAACATACACCCCCACAGCATTTAGCTCACAAGTTTGATATTTCAGATTATGTATGGATGTTGAACATGGAAGGATTTTACTCCACACTTGAAACAATTCAGGTATAAGTCATTTCCGCTTTATTTTATTAAGCAACTGGCAAATTTTAAAAGCTGGTATTTATTTATTGCTATGTTAAATCAGTGTCTCCCCAAGCTCTGTGTGCCCAGTTTGAGAAACTGAATCCACCAAATTCCACAAGAACTGTCAGATTTTTGTAAATGTGAGGCTTACTGAGGCTAAGTATTCCAAATAGAGAACCAGACTACAGTATTTCATTCTCACTCCTCTAGCACTACATAACTCTGCTACAAAGGTGCATTGTGAGATTTCAGCTTTTACATTTTTAGCAGCTGAAGAGCATCAGTGAGCATTAAGTAGAATTTCTTTCAGACTCTGTAATCTTTACCGCATCTTTTCCTTCTATGTGACAAAACAGATGAAAGTGTTTGTGGTTTAAAACAGGGACACTAAGCTACCCATGATCTAGGTGAGATTGTGAATATTGTGAATTAGATCCTTTGGAGTATTACCGTGCTTTTTTGCTACTCTCCTACTTTCATGTATTAAATATCGTTTACAGATTTCCTGTGTAGGCCTGTCCCCAGGGACTGACAACCTGGTGTAGACAACTCATAAATAAAATGAGTGAGACATGAGCAAGAAAAAGCATACCATACTTCTGGGAATCACTCCAGGAAAATAAATGTGCAAGATGGCACATCACCCTACACAAAGCTGGCAAAGGTAAAATAACATTTGGATTTGATCATTACAGAAAATAAAATAATTTTGTGTTCATATGTACATGCTGGTCTTTCCCTGAAATGAAAGGGCAAAGGTAAGAGTCCGAAGTCTGAAAGTGGAGTTCTGACTTACAGGAAAACAAACCTGCCAGTGACTGCTGCAGCTTATTTAACTGAAGTAGAGCATGAAGCCTGGATTTGATCCCTAGTTTTCAGAATGTCTGTGGACTCTCTAGGAACGGCCACCATTGTCTATTTCCCATCTCTGCTGCTCGCTAGTTCTGCAGCATATGCTTGCTTTTAAAGGACTGTTTAAATTCTAGGCCTACCTTTTCCTCACTAATGACAATGCATGATTTTATATAGAAGCAGCATAAAAACACTGTAAAGAACACAAAAGAAACAATCAGCTTGCTTTCTTATAATGGGTTTGGATGAATATACCCTCCCATTTCCATCTGTGCTTTATTCCCTTTTGCTCGAGAGTAGGATATTACATTTACTGGCACTGACGTTCCTCAGAGCTTATTCTTTTTCTCCCCTTCTGCTCTGCTCTCATTTTGCCACTTTTTTTTTGACTATTTTTTAGTCTCCTGCATCCTCATTTTCCTAAGCGCTATCTAGTCTCCAGTTTACCATATTTACGAGCCACTCTGCAAGTCCAAGCAACTGCACATAAGGTATGACAATAGGACAACTACAAGGAAATTATTACTATTTAAGGGATGAGTTGGCAGAAAAGACATCCTGCAACTGTGCAGATTGCAGACAGATGCTTACCTATGTTTTGCTTGGCTGTAATCTGGAAATGTACAGAATTCTTTGAGAGCAAAAGCATTCTTGCCAATTGTTACTTCTATGATGCCCTTATTTTTTGCTTTTAGGGATGAGGGTTTACCTTCATCATAAAACTGTCTGCCCGGCAAGCAGTTGAAAATTTTGCTTGGGTTTTTAAATATCACTACATTCCTGTGCAGGCATAGCTTTAAAACAAGTTGTTTATGATTGAACATTCTCACACTATCATTGCTTGCGTTTCACTGCACAACAAACCTGCAGAAAAGCTTCTTATGCATCAAAATGAATGAAAAGTTGCTTATGACATAGCAACAGGAGTTCTAGGAGAGGTGTATCCGAGTATCTGCCAGAATTAACATTTGCTTATGTGACTTTGAGGCCTTGTACACCCATTGGGCAGATACAAGCCTTGAGGCTCCTCAAAATTTTTGCTCTTCTCACAGTGACAGCCTTCAGGTCATCCCATCTGACAAAAGTAAACAAGAACATAAAACTCTTGTCAAGGATAGGGACTCCTGAAAGTTGATGAGTCCAGTCTGAGGAGCATGAACTGATGTGTTTAGCTTGGCTAGACCTTTCAAGAACCATAGTTGGGTGATGTGGAAGAAGCAATTGAGTGTAGACTTTTACAGGCTCAACTTCTTCCAGCCTTTCAGGATTGGTGACTTCTCTTAAGCCAGAAGATAGTTTAAAACGGTATGTGGTGACTCCTCAAATGTATTCAAGACATTCTGTAAGAATTTTCTGCTCTAGGAAGAAAATTTAATTTGTTTTGCCACTTAAACTTGCCTTTTTACCACTGATGAAGACTGAGAGAAAAGCAAGACTTCTTATTCTTGATGGCCACTCGGCATGCAGGCCAGGAGAGGAAACAACCTCGAGTCCAGGTATCAAACCATTCCTTTGTTCTCTGGCTCCAAATGCAGAGAAGTCCTGAAGTTTCACGAATATCCCATTCAGGAAACCAGAACTCTTTTGGCAAGCGAAGATCAAAAGGATAATTATGCTGTGTTCTACTTGATTTTGCCACGTAATTTGGTAATTAGAAGGATTGGCAGGTAAGTAAAACAGGAAACCGTGATTCCTGAAATGCAGAAATCATCGTCTTGTTGACCTGTGCTGTATCCACTCAGGATCACTTCATTTTGAGAAGATGCCTTCAAATGTTTTTGATTTCCTGTCCATGTTTTGAATAGGAATGTCTACTGAAACCTCTTACCAAGCTACTCTGAAGACCAAGTACACAAGAAAAGACTTTATGCAAGTGCTATAATTTAATTACTTCCTGGCACAGACACAGCCAGCACCAACTCAAGCCATATAAGACAGCTAACACTCACGGTGGCGTTTCTGGTGTTTCACCTATAAGGTGCTTGGCCACTGAACAGTTCAAGGGTCTGACCTAGCTGTACAGAGGCCATTCTCGACTTTCAGTTGTGACTTGCACAGTGTCAAGTTCTAACCCATATCCTGTGAATTACTCATTTCCTACAGGAAGTTCATCTTTGCTACTATCATTTAACAGAATCACAACCACCTATTCTGCTTTCAAGTACTTGCTTTCTATTTTCAGTCTAGCATAGTCTAAGTGTCTACAGTAGTCTAAGTGTATTTCCCCCGAATTGGCAGAATTTTTAGAGTGAAATGAGGGGTAAGGGTTCTGTGGTTTGAGAAAGTCAAATGTAAGTTCAACGTCTGATGCAAGAGCAAATCTCCTTGTGACAACTAATGTGCAAACGAATGGGTTTCTGTAGCTGTCTCCATCAAGGGAAAAAAAAAAAAAAAGGATGAATTTTTTAGTACTTGTGAAATATTCAGCTAATCTTCCCACTTGACTTGCAAGAGACTCAGTGACATGCTTTGTGTTCGTTTTTTAATATTCAGCATTTGGAAGCTCCATCTCCCTGAGTAAATAAGAGCACTACAACTATTGTCTACACTGTGGCAGAACAAAAAGTCCTTTGGCCAGATGTGAGCATGCTATATCCTGCAGCTCCTCTCCCCAAGCCCTGTCCACTCCAGATACAATATGGCAGCATGGACTGCCAGCAGGCTGCTTGTGAGCCTTTCTGTGCTAGTGTGCTAAACTACCAAGCTCGCTCAGATGCCTCCAAGCTCTAAAGAAAAAGTCTTTGTGCCTACATCTGCAGTCACTCCTGTATGCTTGCCGTTTGAAATAGGAATAAGCGTGATTTTTCAGCAGGGTTCAGGTCTACTTTCAATGGAGTGCACGTGAAGGTCTTCAGTGATTATGTAAATGTACTAATTATGTAAATCTAGGAGACTTACGACAATTAGAATTAAGGGTGAGAATGTAAACATGGACCTTGTTATCTTGCACTTGGAGAAAGTGTTATTTTTCTGAACAATGTGACACGTTAAGACCTCAATTGCAACACAAATCTTTATTAACAGATCAGGTTGATGGGCAGAAAGATAAAGGTTAAACACAATTTGTTATTTACAATTTTCAAATTTATATACAAATCCCGATGTTCTGAGTGCTAAACTCTTATGCCCCATACATATGTTGTTTGTTTTACCAGATCACGTGTGAATGAAAAGAACAGCTGTGACCTCCCTTGTATTTTGAAAGGGCTCTGATAAACACAGATTCAACTTAACAAAAAAAGTCTTGAATTCATTCCTTTTGTGTGTGTAAGGACCCGCAGAATTAACCTTAATAATTAAATTCAAGATTAATCATGAAAAAGCATCTAAGGTGAAACTGCATAGCTGCTCATATTCAGTTAGGTGGTTATCTGTTAACAATTTGGTTCTGTCACCAGTTTCCTAACCTGTGATCCACCCCATCTTAAGCAACATTTTTAAAAGTCCCTGAAATTGTGTGCTCAAGTAATACCTTTCCTCTTTCTACAACATGAAGTTACTTAAAGCATGTTACTAAAATTATTTTTTTCTTTGCATACGTAATTTTAACAATTCCTTGGATTGGGTGTGATTTTTTAATTAATTTTTTTTTTTTTTTTTTTTTTTTTTAGCATAATCACTAACTTATTT